GTAGCTTTTAGATTTCAATTTTGTTACTTTCCGATTTTCCACTTTTCGATTTTTTGATTTTTTTTCGATCGTCGTTTTTTCGATTTTTATTTTTTCGATTTTTTGATTTTTCAATTTTTAGGCCTTGCAATTTTTTTACTTTACTGTTCAATTTTTCAATTTAAATTTTGCGATTTTCAATTTGTCCATTGTCGATTTTTAGAATTTTCGGTTTTTCAATTTTTCCATTCTCAACTGTTAGACTTCAATTTTGTTACTTTCCGATTTTTTGGTTTTCGATTTTCCAATTTTCAGAATTTCCAAGTTTATTTATTCAGATTTTCCATTTTCCACTTTTTCGACATTAGATTTTTCGAATTTTTGTTTTTCCAATTTTTTGCTTTTTCGATTTTTCTGTTCGTTTCAGTTTTTAGGCTTTGCAATTTTTTTTACTTTATATATTTTGATTATTTTAATTTTCGATTTTTTTTATTTTTGTTTTTGATTTTATTAATTTTCAATATTACAAATTTTTGACTTTTCGATTTTTTGGTTTTCCCGTTTTTCAATTTTCGATTTTTCGATTTTTGAGGTTTGTGAATTTCCACTTTTCGATCGACCTAGGTATTTGATTCATTGAATTTTCGATTTTTTGATTAGCCATTTTTAGATTTTCGATTTTTACTATTTGTATTTTTCGATTTTCTGTTTTTTGCATTAGTGAATTTCAGTTTTTCCGATTTTTGATTTTGCGCATATTTGATTAATCAAATTTCTTCAAAACATCTACAATATTTCAAAGTATTCAGTTTTGCTATTCTTGATTTCTTCAATAAAATAAATTGACTCAGTCATTAACTTTTTTGAGACACCCTGTATAACCAAATCTATAAAATATTAATGCAGTGATAAATCACAAGTATAAAACTCTTCATATTTTATACATTTAAGATAGGATTTATTCTGCAAAATTTTGAGGTGACGTCATAAATTTTTTAGTGGAGATAAGCAAATATATTTTAATTAAAAATGTATCATGTTTATCATGATTTTAAAACATCATCAAAATTAAATTGCAAAATATTGTTTTATAATTTTGATTTTTTTTCCAAAAATCTGGATGTTTTGGAGAAAAACTCAACACGGAGTCATAAACTACATGTGTAGGACTATGTTACTGTATACAATTTAAAACTCATTTACTATGCATAAATTTGAAGTGACGTCATCACATTGGTGGGGATGATTAGACAAATTTAATAATTTTGCGACATTTATGAAAAAAATATCAGTTAACAAAAATGGCACGTTTTTATTATTATGCCAGTTACATGTCACTCAACGACAATATCGTTTTTTTTAAGAGTATTTTATTTGAAAAAGTGATGAAATTTTTTATACGAAACAATTGGTCGAAAGATGTTAGAAAGCAAAATAATTCATGTTCGGACCATCGTTACTCACCAACGAAAGTGACCATTATTTTATGGGAACAACTACCTGCTAAATCTTCTCCGACAAATTTGAGAGAACTGGTGTGAGCCATAAATATTTCTTACCAAATGTATATATAACTACTGTCCGTCTCGTTATTGTCAATAAAATTTTATAGGGTAAAATGTGGATTTCGTTGTAGTTTGAGCCTACCTACAAATTCTGCCCTTGAAGGATTTGGACCGCCTTCTTCGGTGAGGGCAGGCAAAAACGATCCGCCCATAGGCTCAAAACATTTGCGTGCGATTGTACACATTTTTCATAATCATAAAAAAATATTTTTTGGAATTTAACACAACAGTACCATCTGATTTTTAAAATTTGTGAACTAGTTGGCCATGATAATAGCAGTGTAACTAAAACGGTTGACGTAAGCGTCATGGCCAACTGGAGCACAAATTTAAAGTCACCCGATATTTTACAAATTTTAGTTTTCCTTAATAAATAAAAAATAAGTTATTAGTAATTAAAATTTTGAGTGATTCTTTATTCTATAAAAATGGCTATAAATCAAATAGTGACGCGTAGCTTAAAAGTATTCGTGGAAAAAAAATGTGGTGTATGCGAAGCAAAACTAAACCTTATAAAACCGTGAAATACGATTCAAAGCGCATTCTATGCAGAATGTATATTTGACATTTTTATGACACTCTAATTTACATTCAAGTACGTTCAAGTACAATGGTCCCAAAGGCGAGGCCTAAGTGCCGGTTGGCTACGGTCAGCCCCCATCTAATGAAAATCCAGAATCCAGAATACACTCTAACGTCGCGACTGATAAAATAAATGGGCTAAAATCCCTATAACAGGAGAAAGCCCAGGAGGCAAAATTTGGTCAAGTTTCGACCTGGCGTGGGTCATGCCGTCAGTCTGTTTAGCGATTTTTCCCATATTTTGAAATATGAATATGAATATGCTCTATTTGTCTCTCCCTCTCTCTAACATGTCCTACACCTTCCGTCAGTTTGATCCATCCAAAAATTATTCTTTTTCTCTTCATTTCCACAACTAAATCTTGCCATCCGTCGTTTCTCCTTTATACTCTTTCTCTCTGTGTGTAGTTTGGTACTTCATCCTACTATTTTTCTATACTCTGCATTATATCTAGACTCAGATATTCTCAGTCTGCGTTCTTGCTTATCTATATCCTTATCTCTTACACTCAGTTCTTCTTTCATACTCCTTGCTATTTCTCTCAGTCTCTCTATTTCTTCACATGCATATCCCTTTCCTTCATAATACTTGTCTCTTTCGTTCCATACATGTTTCCCCCGTCGTTTCTTATTTCTTTCCAACATTCTTGCAATAATTTACAATCACCTTTCTCACTAAACTTCTCTTCAAATCCAATCGCCCCTTTTACCCGCTTCCATTCTCATTTTTTCCCTTTTTGTTTCGTCTTTTACTATATACCCCGGCGTATACTTTTTCAATCCCAATGTCCATTTTAAGTATTTTTCTTGCACTCTCTCTATTTCTTCATATTCCCCCCATCCCCATATCTCAGCTCCGTACATAAATACACTTTTGATCAAACTATCAAACATCATCATTCTTCTCTTATAATCATGTCCAAATTTTCTCTCTCCTATTCCCCATACTCTTCCTATCACTTTGTTCGCTTTTCGGATTATTTTTTGAATATGCGCTCTATCTGAGTTATTGCTCTTTAATGTATATCCTAAGTACTGGAATTCTTTCACCTGTTCAATCCCCTTCCCTCTCCATGCCCACTCTTCATCGTCCTTTCTTACTTGTAGTATTTGAAGATGACGTCAAATCATCGTTGGTAGGGATGATCACACAAATTTTGGTTAGCGTTTAATCATTCACACGATGTTCCCAATGGACATACAAAATTTGACAACAGTTAGTCTGGTAGTTTGGAAGATTATCTATCTAATAAAAATCAACACAGATGCGGAGACAGAAACGAGAGACCTATGTTTTCGTATTTTAGGAATCATGAAAAATCGAGAAAACATAAAAGTAGCCAGTTGCCCGATGGACTAGATTACAATACTTAGTTCCTTAGATTATGTTCGGGAAATAAAAAGCTTGGCAGAGTTCTCACTAAACGTCGATTTTTGATATTAACGTCATCGTATACATAAACCACCAATCTAAATATGTATTTTGAATTATTCACACCATAGTTCTCAGTTCTACCAAAATGTAAGAAAAAGTAAGAAAAAGTTTTGAATAAATTATACTTAACATTGACCTTTATTACAAGACAACTATTAACAACATAAGAATAAAGGAGATCGTGGAAGCAATTAAGCAGAAATCTATCAGCGGTATAACTATGACAACATTACAACCCAAAACCTGAAATTTTAGCTACAGGAAAACTCAATTGGAATCTATTTTTGTGTTGTTCCTATCAAAATCGTTACGTTTATTGTCACCGAAACGTCAAAAACAACCTAGTTCAAACCAAAAATGAACCCTCGCACAATAATAATTTTTGTTTGAATTTTTTTTTTAATTGTTTTATGATCAAGAAAACAAAGCGTGGAAAGTAATCATTACAGTAATTAAGAATCTTCAGATTGTTTCTGCAAATTCTGTAAAATACTTCGTATTATTTAACAATATTTACATGGCTTGAAAAGAACGGCCTCTTATTGGAATCAAATTCAAATATAGTCAGCATTTAGTAAGCTACGACCACATTGTAAGCTAATAAATATATAATCAATTGTTTCTATCGAAGGATAAGTAACATGTAACATTAATAGAAAATCAAACAAAACACTAATTGCTAGTGGAGTCCGTACTATATAATTTATTTTCATAATAATGGGTCAGACGCTAACAAAATAAACCCACATATTTAAGTAGTTCGCTGCAACATGCAATTCTCAGGAACTGGACACGTACTACTGACACAGTTTTTAACGAATGAGCCGTTTATTCACTCTTATTAGAGCATTGAAAGTTACTACAACATCCAGGTTCTCGAATATAAACTCAACATATTTTGCCAGTTTGACGTAATAGAGAATAAATACATTTTTGTGTCCGAATTTTTGTTAAACGAAACCACTCAAGATGTCATATCCTGATGGATATCAAGGAAAAATACAAATCTGTCGCGTTAGTAGAACTGTTTTTCAATATAATTTGCTTTGGCCAGACGATGATGCTGAACTAAATCCCGGAATCAAATTTAAATTTCAAGTTTTAACCTTTTTTTTGTTCACTGGTGTACTGACTGTCTTAACTACAATTCACTTTTCTCTGGGAATTATAAGTAAGACATTTTTATAGCGCTCCACTCAATGTTATTTATTAAATATTTTCAGGTAAAGAAGAACTAAATACCGAAGAAATGGCTTTACTTATTGCAGCTTATGGAAACTATTACATGATAAGCGCTTACATAAAAAATCAACGAGAAATTGCATTTCTCCTTCGGGATTTATCACATTTTCAAAATTTCGGAAAACCTCCTGGTTTTGATAAAAAGAATAAAAACTTAAATTTATGTGTCAAATTATTAGTTTCGTATTCATTTCTAGGTGAAATTTTGTATACTTGCATGAAAGTTCTCGAAAAAGAAAAATGTAAAAAATTTCACTCGAAAAGAAAATCGAATGGAAATTATTGTGGATTAATTGTACCAGTATGGCTACCTTTCGAAATAGATTATTTTCCTGCTTTTCATTCATGGTTACTTTATCAATTTTTGGTGGTCCATTTGATCATAAAAATGTGCTTACATATCTCTTTCAACGCTCTTGAAATAGTTCATCATATTATTTTAAAAATAAATCACTTAAAGTCTATGATTCTGGAAGCTTTTGAAGGTCGAGATAATCACGTTATTACCAGTAAGATTGCAAAATGCATTTATTATCACAGAGAAATCCTAAAGTAAGTTTTAAATTAAAAATTTGTTATTCATTTGAATTTTTTGTTCCCTAGTTTAATTAGGAGGCTTGACAACAATTTTTTTAACAGTATGTTCGGACACTTTGCGTTAACGGGTACAGTGTGTGCCTGCTTGGAGAAACAAATTTTAGACGTAATAAACTTAAGAGATATGTATAAATCGTCAGAATTTGATGTAGTTGTTGTAGGGATATAATGTGTACGCCGGTGTTGTACATTTCATGGGGTGGATATTAGCACTTTTCATTGGTTGCGTTGGTGGACAACATCTTCTTAACGCTGTAAGTAAATTTTTGTTTAACGAAAACCAGTGACAAATAATTTTAGAATGAAATTATTCCAAATGCTTTATGGATTTCAAAATGGTATACGACAGACTTACGACTAAAAAAAGATTTTCTGTTCATTTTGTCAGTATCGCAGAAAGATTTCTACATGCGAGCAGGTCCGTTTGGAATTCTTTCCTATTCACTTTTTGTTTCGGTAATATAAAAAAATGTTTTCCTTTATTTGCATATTTTTACTGAACATTTTAGGTACTGAAGGCGTCCTATTCGATTTTGTGTCTTCTCTCATCCTAAAATTATAGACACTGACTGGCAGGCCTTTCGAAATACTTACGTAAAAAATAAAAATACCGAAGTGCAATTTTCAAAATCATTAGGTCTGTGTTTCTTTCTCCTGGTCACAACTAAGTATTCTTCAGGAGTATAACATACTAGGAAAAAGTTATGTTATAGATTTACTACCTTCGATGAAAATACTTAGATTCAGAGGTATTCAGAGGAGAACTATGACGATTCAAATTATTTTTGAATCTTTACATTTTCTTTAAGTGCCTATTACAGATAATCCATATAATACAACAAGCAAACTGTTAGTGTTCACTAGAATTTAAATGTTGTTTAATGTTAAATTTTTATTGTATATATGTGTGTACAATATTGTTTTACAAAAGGTGCACTTTTAAAATAATCTTACAGTCTATATATAAAGTTTTATATCTAGTGTTCTCTCTCCACCGTAACAATAGTACACATTTTTCATTTTTATAAACTATATTTTTTGGAATTTAGCACAATAATACAGTACGATATTTTTTAAATTTTTGGATTAGTTAAACATGACGCGTACGTCAGCAGTATAACAAAAAAGGTTGACGTAAGTGGCATGCCCAACTGGAGCACAAATTTAAAAAATCACCGGATATTTTTGTTACACTTTTATTTACATTCAAGTACATTGAAGAAGTTGGGTGGCTTGACAAGTCTAGGATGGAAGCAAAGAGGAGGCCTAACTGCCAGCTAGCTACGGTCAGCTCCCATATAATTAAAATCCAGAATCCAGAATAATACAAAAAAAAGTCCTTGTAAACGGGAAAGCGCAGGAAGCCAAATTTGCTCGAGTTTCGAGGTGCCGTGGGTGATGCTGTCAGTCTGCTTAGCGATTTTCCCATATTTTTGGCTGAATTTTGAAGAAAACCGGACTTAGAAAAGTTTGTTGAAATAAGTCTGCCCTCAGTCTCACATAACTTACCTCGCTCTCGCTACCCTATGTGTTCTCGACTTCGGCCGTACTTATTAGACGTTTAATTTACTTATGCGTTTTTGTCGGTGGTTTTCGATGCGTTTGGTGTGAACAGTAACGGCGGGGGGTAGAAAGAATTTTTTGCGGTAGTCTTTACCTTGCGTCAGCTTTAGGTCGTCGAGGAGGATCTTCCGATAATTAATTTACCGGTTTTGATTTTTGTGCATACAGTAAAGAATCTTCAGAATGCCTAAGGTAAAATCATCCATGAAAGACAAAATCAAATTATGGTTAGGGAGTAATTTGGACCCTAATTTTCAATTTCCTTCTTCAACCAAAGACAATGAGTTATTCTGCAAAGTGTGTGGAAAAGTTGTAAGTAAACATGTAAAATACTGAAGCTTGAATTATTTTCATATTTTTGTTTCCTAGTTTAAGTGCGAAAAAAAACACACTTTGAACAACACTGCAGTGGCGATGCACATAAAAACAACAAAAATAAATCCAGTAAACAGATTTTTATTCAACATTAGTTCCGACTGATTTTACGCAATTTTTGCACCGATTTATGCAGGGCATTTACCGCAGCAAATATTCCATGGAATAAAGTTAGTTGTCCTGAGTATAAAAATTTTATGCATAAATATACAGGAAGTCATTTACCCTCAGAAAGCACTCCGAGAAAAAATTATTTACCAAAAGATTACGATATGGTGAGCACTAGAATTTTTATTTAAAAACTTTTTAACATAAATTTTATAATTTATAGGTAATTAAAGAAATTCTATTGGCAATAATAATATATGGATTAGCGTCGATGAGACGACGGACAGATTAGGAAGATACATAGCCCATTTAGTAATTGGAAAGTTATCTTCTGAAGAAGCTGGCCGTCCAATTCTACTAGCTTTGAAGCAGCTTGATAAAACTAACTGCAACACAATCTCGAAATTTATAATCGAATCATTGGGTGTGCTATTGATAATTTTAACCATTGAAATTATTATAATTTATTTAATTGTTAATTTGTAGCTTTCTTCTTGCGAAAAGGAACTGAACACAAAAAAGTTAAATGGTTTGTATCAGATGGTGCTTCATACATGATCAAAACTGGTGCTAATTTGAAGGTGTTTTATGAAAATATGACACACTTAACATGTATGGTACATGGGTTACATTTAGTGTCTGAAGCAATTAGACTGAATTATCCAGATGTCAATGGGATAATTAGCAATGTTAAGAAAATCTTTTTAAAAGCACCAATAGGAATTGAGTTTTATAAAAAGAATTTACCAAATACACCTCTCCCACCTGAACCTGTATTAACCAGGTGAGGCACTTGGATTCAAGCAGAATTGTTTTATGCAGAACACTTTGATGTTTTAAAACAAGTCAGTAAATATATAATGGTTTTTTACTATCATTCTTATATTGAATATTTTTCGGTTGTAATGTCATTAGAAAGCCACAGATGCACAAAGCATTAAAAAAGCTCAAGAATTCATGAATAAACCAAACGTTAAAAATGAACGCTTGTACATTAAAACTCACTTTAAAATTATTGCTGATGTAATAAGTAGAAGAATTAGAAACTATAGGTTTTACATTAAACCAAAGTATGGAAATTGTGGAAAAAGTGTATACATCTTTAAAAAACACACCAGGAAAGGTAGGGGAAATGCCGTTCTGAAAATTATGTTCTCTATTAAAAAAGAATCCAGGATACGATTTTATATGGTCAGTGAATAACGTAATTTGCGGTAATGGAAATGCTACCAACAATACATACATAAATTAAAACGTAAATTGTTCAATATTTAATTTTAAACCTACCACTTCTTGTAATGTGAAACGCACGTTTTCAAAACTTAAAATTGTTTTAAGCTGTCAAAGGTGTAAATTTACAATCGAAAATTTAGAGAAATATATATGTAGTTTGCTTTTGTAACTCATTTTTAATACCTAAATTAATATTTTATTTTTTGTTAAATGCGACTTGCTTTAATCGCCATTTTTGCGATAACTTAGAATTAGTGGACATAACTATAGATCGTTTGTTTTTTTAATCATCTTTTTTTGTTACACAAAATATTTGTTTCTATAATGTTTTATTTAATGTTTTTTTAAAATATATATTTTTTTGATGTATGCTTTTTCGTTGAGTAAATATCTTTTCCTCCAGGTTTTTAACCTAAACTAAGATTTTTATAACCTAATTCGTCAATTTTGGGACCTAAAAATGTCTGCTTTTATTCATTTTTTAACGACCTAAAATCCGAAGCCTACTTATTACCGATTTAAATGCACGTATTATTGTTAGATTTAGAAGGTATTATTTAGCGATTTGTAAATTTAGTTTCAGGTTTTATCGTACCGGGTTTGATTTTTACTTCCCGAGCGTAAGCAAAGGAAGTATTGTAATCGAGTCCGTCGGCCGACTCTCTACTTTTACGTTTTCTCGATCTTTCATGACCCCTAGAAGACGAAGAAATAGGTCTCCCATTTCCGTCTGTCTGTCCGTCTGTCCGTCTGTCCGTCTGTCCGTCTGTCCGTCTGTCCGTCTGTCCGTCTGTCCGTCTGTCCGTCTGTCCGTCCGTCTGTCCGTCTGTCCGTCTGTCCGTCTGTCCGTCTGTTGTCACGGATTTTTATTAGACAGATAATCTCCGAAAGTACTCGACCGATTGTTGTGAAATTTTGTACTTATATTAAGAATATCATGTAGATGGTAAAACGCTAACCAAAATTTGTCGAATCATCCCCACCACTAAAGCGATGACGTCACTTCAAAATTGTACATAGTAAATGGGTTTTCAATTGTATAAAATAACATAGTCCTACACATGTAGTTTACAACTCTGAATCGACTTTTCACCCGAAACGTCCAGATTTTTGGAAAAAAAATCAAAATTATAAAACAACATTTTGAAATTTAATTTTTAATCTGCTAACCAGAATGCTTTGAAATGTTGCAGATGTTTTAAGGCTATAAAGAGCATCATAAATCTTTAGTCAAAAAATATTTGCTTATCCCCTCCAAAAACTTGATGACGTCAGCTCAAAAGTTTGTGGAATAAATCATATCTAAAATGTACAAAATATGATGAGTCTGTACTTGTGAACTATCACTCCATTAATATTTTTTGGATTTGCATATACAGGGTGACTCAAAAAAATTAATGAATGCGTAAATATATTTTATTGATTTAATCAGGAACTACAAAACCGAATGCTCTGAAATCTTGCAGATGTTTTAAGGTCATAAAGAGCATAATAAATGTTTAGTCAAAATATATTTGCTTATCCCCTCCAAAAACTTGATGACGTCAGCTCGAAAGTTTGCCGAATAAATCATATCTAAAATGTACAAAATATGATGAGCCTGTACTTGTCATTTATCACTCCATTCATATTTTTTGGATTTGCATATACAGAGTGACTCAAAAAAATTAATGAATGCGTAAATTTATTTTATTGATTTAATCAGGAACTACAAAACCGAATGCTTTGAAATCTTGCAGATGTTTTAAGGTTATAAAGAGCATAATAAATTTTTAGTCAAAATATATTTGGTTATCTTCTACAAAAAACTGATGACGTCAGCTCAAAAGTTTTCCGAATAAATCGTATCTAAAATGTACAAAATATGATGAGTCTGTACTTGTGATTTATCATTCCATTCATATTTTTGGATTTGCATATGCAGGGTGACTCAAAAAAATTAATGAAGGCGTGAATTTATTTTATCGATTTAATCAGGAATTACAAAACCGAATGCTTTGAAATCTTGGGAATATTTTAAAGTTATTATAAGCATGGTAAACTTTTGTTCAAAATGTATTTGTTCATCCCTCCTAAAAAAATTGATGACGTCACCCTTAAATTTTGCTGAATAAATCCTATCTAAAATGCAAAAAATATGATGAGTTTGTACTTGTGATTTATCATTCCATTCATATTTTTTAGATTTTCTTAAGAGGTGGTTCAAAAAAATTAATGAAGTCAATTTATTTTATTGATTAAATTAAAGGCAACACTTATTATTAGTATTACACCCCAACCAACCCAATTTGGTAGACACAAAATTTGTTAAAGGAAAAACTCGGTTGAAACATAAGGGTAGCACGCTTATTTACATCGACTTTAACATTACAGACCTGCATTTGTTTTATGCGTTCACTTGATTCCGCGAATGTGAAATAGACATGTTTATAATCAACCAATTGTGAATTTCACCGTCAAGAATTAAAATAAAACCCAATGTTTTATATAATAAGCGGAAGTCGAAGCAATAAAACCGACGGTCGTTTTGTTTACAGTTTCTGTGTTTGGCTCTCACGTATGCTGTTACGCCTGTCATCTTAAATTAACAATGTTTATACATACACGATTTTCAGTTGCCTCTGATACGTAGGTATACGTGAGTAAATTGTTTCGTTATTTTATTGATTATTACAAATCAATATTCAAACGACCCAATTCATTTTCCCGAAAATTTGAGAATATAATAATTTTATTCTTAGTATTACACTACATCTATCCCAACTGATATACGTGTCCTTGCAAAAATGTTGATGACGTCATCGCAATTTTTTTTTAAATTCCCACTACAAAAATGTAATGAGAAAAAAAACACAATAGGCATGCAGTCGTCAAGTTTCCGACAGCGAGGGAAGTACTGTCTAAACTCTTTAGACCAATTTTTAGAAATTAGTTTTAATATTTTCGTAGATTTTAAGATTAAAGTAATGGAAAGCAATTGTGTAGCGCTTTTATCATCTTTATATATGTTTTAGTTATGTAAGTTACTTCTATGTCTTCTTTCGTTCTTTTGACTGGAATGTATTTAATTAGTAGTCATTAATTTATTTACAGGCTTAATAAGATTCCCAGTAGGGGAATTAACTTAATCTACATAATACAAATAAGTGAATAAAAATAAATAAATAATATAAATATTCCAGTTTTATATAATAATAATAATGGTTCTATTCTTTCTGCTTGTTCACCCCTTGCCTTAGTTTCCTTGCCTTCCATACTTGTTTCATTCAGTCCAGTCCTCTTCCATCCTCGTTTAGCACTTCTTCCCTACTTTCCTCCGATTCTCTCAATCCTTCATATCCTTCCAGCATATGCTCTATTGTCTCTCCCTCTGTCCTAGACCTTCTGTCTGTTTCATCCATCCAAAAATTATTCTCTTTCTCTTCATTTCCACAACTCAATCTCGCCATCCTTCTTTTCTCCTTTATACTCTTTCTCTCTGTGTGTACTTTGGTACTTCATCCTGTACTATTTTTCTATACTCTGCATTATATCTAGACTCCGATATTCTCGATCTGCGTTCTTGCTTATTTATATACTTATCTCTTACACTCAGTTCTTCTTTCATACTCCTTCCCATTTCCTTCATTATCTATATTATTTCACATGCATATCCCTTTCCTTCATAATACTTGTCTTTTTTGTTCCATACATGTTTCTCCCTCCCTTTCTTATTTCTTTCCAACATGCTTGCAATATTTTACAATCATCTCTCTCACTAAACTTCTCTTCAAATCCAATCGGCCTTTTACCAGCTTCCAGTCTCATTTTCTCCCTTTTTGTTTCTTCTTTTACTATATAACCTGGCGTATACTTTTCCAATCCCAAAGTCCATTTTAAGTATTTTTCTTGCAATCTCTCTATTTCTTCATATTCCCTCCATCCCCAAATCTCAGCTCCGTACATAAATACACTTATATATAGTCATGTCCAAATTTTCTCTCTCCTCTTTATTCGGCTTTCGGACCATTTATTGAATATGCGCTCTACCTGAGTTATTGCTCTTTAATGTATATCCTAAGTCCTGGAATTCTTTCACCTGTTCAATCCTCTTCCCTCTCCATGCCCACTCTTCATTTTCCTTTCTTACTTTCTTCCCAAACACCACCATTTTTGTTTTATCCATATTCACTTCCAATTCCTTTTTTTGTACGTACTTCTCGAAACTTTTAATCATTGTTTTCATTTCTTCTCTTTTCTTTGCCACAATCACCAAATCATCTGCGTACGCCAACGACCACACTTTCTCTTTGCCCACTATCACCCCTCCTGTCTGTGCTTTTCTGAACATTTCATCTATATCTCCTAGATAAGTTGCAGACAATGCGGGGCTGAGTGGGCATCTCTCTTTCACTCCTCTATTTGTATAAAAACTCTCGCTCTCTATTCCATTCACTCTCACCTTGCTTACTGTGTCTGCATATATTTCTTCCATTTTCGTTACCAGGTACGCATCTACTCCCTTTCTCCTCAAATACTCCCACATTTTTTATCTATTCACGCTGTCAAACGCTGCTTTGAAATCTAAGAACAAGGCGCACATTCGTCCACCCTCTTTTTTATTTCTCTTCCCACTAAATGCCGCAGGATGTACATTGTCCATAGTACCTCTTACTTTCCTAAACCCTGACTGAGCGTCTGGTAACATACCTCTTGCTTCCATCTCTTTTCGTAACTTCTTATCTAGTATCATTGCGCATATCTTGTTCACCGTACTGAGCAAGGTGATCCCTCGATAATTCTTCACATCACTTTTTGCCCCTTTTTAAATAATAGGATTATTATACATTCTCTGCAGTGCCGAGGAAATCCTTTTCCCTTCCAAACTCCATCTACCACTTCCCATATCCTTTCTTTCATTCCTTCTGTCCCAAACATTCACGCTTCGTTGTGGATTCCATCTGCTCCTGGTGTCTTTCCTCTTTTAAGTTTTTCAATCTGTCTTCCTATTTCATCTTCTGTTATTTGCGAACCTCTCCACATTTCTTCCGTCGTTGTGATTCCTTTATTTATTTCGCAGCCTTTTTCCTCACAACCTCCCAATAATTCCATAAGGTGTCTTTTCTATTCATGTATTTTGATTTTTTTACCGACTACAGTCTTCCTTCTCCGTTCCTTGTTTATATATTTCCATATTTCTTTTTTGTTTTCAGGGACTTTATTGTCTTCTCTTTTACTTTTTGTTCCTCTCTTTTTCTTTCTTCACATTTTTTGTTATAATTCTCTCTTGCTTTTAAGTACACTTCTTTACTTCCCCTGTTATTTTTCCATTTTCTTAATTTTTCCCTTGCTTTTCTCTTCAATTCACTACATTCCACGTTCCCTCCATTATTCCTCCCTTGCCATATGTATATCTTTCTTTTTTCCGTAGCTTGTACAATTAAGTTGATCAGTTCTGCTATCATAGCTTCTATATCTTCTTTTACTTAGAAATTCTTTTTTTCTAGTCTACTTCCGTATCTATGAATTCCCTCTTCATCCCATATTCTTTTTTCTATTTCTTTTCTTTCGTTTCTTTTCTCTTGTTTTTCGTACTCTTGCTCTTTTTTTGGTTTGATTTTTATTTCTAGTGGCATGTGGTCTGATTCTTCCTTTTCCCCACTTTGAAATCCTTGATTTCTTCCCACGCCTCTTCGCTGACAATCCCATATTCTATAATTGATTTTCCCGTATCCCCTACGTACGTCCATTCTCCTTCTTCATCTCCTTCCTTGTTTCCATTCAAAATTTTCCCATCCCATTTCTTCTATTATTATCTTCCACAATATAATATTTCCTTCTTTGTTACTTGCTTTGTCTTTTGATCCTCTTTTCTCTCCCTTTTCTTTATCTGTTATTCTTGTCCCCTTATCGCCCAGTCTTGCGTTAAAATCCCCTCCTATACGTATTTTTTCATCTCCTTTTTCTTTTGTATGCTTTTCTATGTTTATCTTGGTTTCCTCCATTTTCTTTCTATAAACGACTATTATTTCTCATCAATTGTTATCCAGCTGTATTATTTTCTCCATTAGTCCGTTTTTATTGTTACTTCCTTTTTATAATTCTTGCATTTCTTTTCGAATTCCCATTACTATTCCCCCGCTTGCTCTCTCCTTTTTTTTTCCTTTCTCGCTCCTTGACACTCCCACACATATACTTGTGGTAGTGTCTCTTCAAATTTCTCGCAGTTTTCTCTTTGTACCCATGTCTCTACTAGTCCCATCACATCAAATTTTCCTACGTAGTCCCAGAACTCCTTTTCCTTTTTTCGCAACGCTTGGACATTCCAAAACAGTACCTTCACTCGTTTTTCTGCTAATTTTGTACCATCTTCCATTTTTCCACTTTCCCTATCTGCATCTTTTATTCCTTTTCCTTTTCCTTTGCCTTGTTTTCTTCCATTTATTTTGGCTCTTTACTAAAAATTTTCTACCTTCTTGAGTCTGCCCTCTTCTTCATTCCATTCAAAATTTCTGCCATTTATAGTTAACTTTTTATATTCCATTCTAACCATTTTTCCTTTATTTCTCTCTTTTGTTGCCTCTTCTTATATTTTGATTTGAATTTTTCTTTCCGTTTTCGTCAGATCATCATTTATGTAAATTGACGACCCTTTTAAGTTCTTCTTACTTTTCATTACATTTATTTTTTCTTCTCTATTTTCGAATTCCAGTACATACACTTTCTTTGCAATTTTGTACACGCTTTTAACTGCACTCTCTACTTTGGCTTTCTCTTCTAAAAATTTTGTCACCTCTCCTGTTTCTATTTCCAATCCCATCATCACTACTTTGTTTCTTCTCTTTTCTCTCTCCATTCGTTAGTTGACTTTCTACTTCACCCACTCTCATTTCCATTTCTTCCTTAGCTCTCTTCCATTCTTCTCTGATTTCTCAATTTTGCTCCTGTAGTTGATCTCTTACTTGTTGTTTTGTGAGTATTTTTTGGCGCATATCGGTGTATTCCAGCACTCCGGTTTCCGATAATTAGAGAATGATCTACCATTGTTGAGTTTAGTCTGTTTCTTTACGGCTAATTGTCCAGCATTCTAAATAGAATTGCAAAAAAATCAAAGTGGAGGTGCAGCTTGTTGAAAAAAAATATCATAAAACTTAGGAATGATTGAGCAAATTAATTAAAATGTCCACAAAATCTGAACATAATAGTTTTTCTAATCACAATACAACCGCTTGCATGTAAGAATATAACATATAAATATACAGACTTACAACTAAGTAAAACATCATGTATACAATTTTAAACAATTTCAACCGCTATCTAGACGACATGCTGTAAAATTTGCTAACAATATTTATTTTTACTAGTCTATTGTTCTTTTTAGTTGGGTTACAAAGTAATTAAATATGTTCGAATGAATTAAAACTTTAATCAAATTCTACTACATATTTCATTGTACATTTGACAGAAAAACTAAACCGAATATTAAATTCTGCTTTATAAAATGGTACATAATATTTGTTTGCGTAATAATAGGCCACACGCCAACAAAATTAAATTATACGTTTGGATGCAGCCTTCTCAGAAATGGGTCACGTGTTCTAACAATCAATGAATCCACAGACGGAGAACCAAAAGTTAACACAATGGTTTAAGTAGTTACGAAGAAAATATCGTTCGACCCATAACTAAAATTATTAACTATATTTAATATGTCACGTTCTAATGGTTGTCGAAGTCAGGAAATAAAAATCTGTAGTGTTAACAGGAAAATTTTTCAATACAGCTTGCTATGGCCGGACGATGGCACAGAATTGAATCCCGGGAGGAATTATATTGTTAAAATTTTATGTTTCTTTTTATGTACTGGATTAATGACAGCATTAACGACAATTCACTTTCTTCTTGCAATTATAAGTAGGTATGTCAGATTCTGCTTGATCTAATTATTGTTAATTACATTTTTTAGACGATGAAGAGTTAAATACCGAAGAAATTGCCGTACTTATAGCAGCATATGGTACCTACTACATGATTTGTGCATACATAAAAAATCAGCGTCAAGTGGCTCTTCTTCTTCGGGATTTATCACAGTTTGAAAATTTTGGCAAACCTCCTGGATTTGAGAAAAAGGACAAACAATTAAACCTTTGTGTCAAAATGTTAGTTGCATATTCATTTACGGGCACAGTTGTATACAGTTCTATGAAGTTATTTGAAAAAGGAAAGTGTAAAGCATTTCATTTAGAAAGGAAGTCGAATGGAAACTATTGTGGTCTAATTGCTCCATTTTGGCTTCCTTTTGAAATCGATTATTTTCCTGTATTTCACTTGTGGTTACTTTACGGTTTTTTGGCTGCATGTTTGCTTCTAAAAATGTGTCTGCATATTTCTTTCAACGCTTTGGAAATAGCCCATCACATTATTTTAAGGATACACCACTTAAGAATCATGTTTTTGGAATGTTTCAATAGTGGCAGCAATCAAATTATTCGGGTAAAACTTGCAACATGTGTTCTTTATCACAAAGAAATTCTAGAGTAGGTAAGTACTTTGTTATGAAAATAAGTTTTTATTTTTTTTTTTTCAGGTTGATTATGAGACTTGATGATATCTTCTTCAACAGCATGTTTGGCCATTTTGCTTTAACTGGTACAATATGTGCTTGCCTGGAGAAACAAATCGTGGATGTAATAAAATTGCGTTTTTATTTCGTTAATTTAGAATAATTTTTTTAGGGGTATAATGTATATGCTGGCACTGTACATTTTATCGGGTGGATTTTAGCCCTATTTATAGGATGCGTTGGAGGACAGCACCTTCTGAATGCTGTATGTTACCCGCATTTATTGGAATTTAATAACATCGAAATTTTAGAACGAAGTTATACCAAATGCTCTTTGGATTTCAAATTGGTATACGGCTGATGTACGAATAAAAAGAGATTTTCTTTTTATTTTAACAAGATCACATAAAGATTTTTACATACGAGCAGGTCCATTTGGAGTTCTTAGCTACCCACTTTTCGTTTCGGTAGTAAAACTGATTGCTTTATTCTGAAAATCATTGGAATTTTTAGGTGCTGAAGGCGTCGTATTCGATTTTGTGTCTACTCTCGTCCTGAAAACGTCTTGATATTTGGTTGAATCAAAATTAATTTACACTGCAATTTCTTAGGTTATTGTTTTGGTACAAATAACAGTTAAATTATATAAATTTAGTTTAAAATACATATATAAAAATATTTTGATGTAGCTTCCTTGAAAACTGAATTATTGTTTGTAAATGGTAGATACTGACTAACTGATTATTATTATTATTATCGATTTATAAGTTTTTGGAAAATTAATCTAAAAGGTTTAGAATTCCAACTTGTTCGATTTTTCAAAATATTGCAACTTTTAAATCTTAAATTTTTCGAAAAATTGAAAATTTCCAAAAAGGAGAAATCAAAACATCAAGGAATTGAAAAATCAAAAAGTGTAAGATTTAAAAAATCGCAAAATTTTGAAAAAATAAATAAAATAGAATGTGGAAAAATTTAATGATTTAAAAATCGATATACTTACATATAGAAAAATCCCAAAATTGAAAATTGCCAAAATTGCAACAGGATTCCTCGTGGATACGTAACAAACAGCAAAGATTTTGTGATTCGGCAGTCCATCTAGGAAATGTTTCCATGTCGGTCTTTTCAAGATTCAGTAACAAAAATGTATTTAAATTGTACCTTTTTTTTAATTAGTCCTATTATTATGGTGTTCAAGTTTATCCCCTGCTGTTCTTTTAAACTACTAGTGCACACAATATTTTATACAAATTTTCATTTAATTTTATGTTAACAACTAAAAGATATTTATTAGATCAGTTTTTGGTGCATAGTCTCAATAAATCAAGATCATGATCAATTGTCATAAAGAAAAAACCTTACAAATGAAAAACACCCTGTAAAACCTGAATGTTTTACAATTTTTTTTTGTAGTTTTAGTGTTATTTGTTAAATACCCTAAGACCTGCGACGTCTGGTTTCAGCAAATAATTAACTAACATCCTAAGATTAAAATAAAGCAAATAATAATTAAAATTTGCATCACATAATTATTACCGTTTTATCTCCTGCTTGTTTCAGTTTGCTATTTTGAGCCTAATACCAACCAGTGAGGCAAAAATTGTGTTACTGAACTAATTTTTTATTACTTTCGAAGCGTAACCTATTTCCCGTAAGTACTATGATTTCGTATTATAATGTCCATAATTTTTAATTACAAGAGCACCAAAACTTGTATTTTCATCGTCTTGAGATAAATAACTTACCGGCCGTGTACAGATGAAATTCCTTCGAAGAATGCATGTGATGAACTCCCGTAATCGATTAGCAGCTTTAATAAATAATAGCGACACGCGTCATCACAACCTGCTGGTCTTCCCATATCTTTCTGAAGTATTAATTTTAATCAATAAAATGTAAAAAAAAATCAGTGAGAACTATCCTAATTGTTTTTAGAAGTACATGTGTTTTATAATATTCTTGTTGGCGGCGATGTGGAATTCTGACAAGCTCTTCACAAGTTAAAGTTTATTGAGACGGTTTTTAATCGCGATGTTTGAGAGCTTACCTGATATAATTTGATTAGAACTAATTTATATTCGATTCCTAAACTTTTTGTATACTAGAAACACTAACCGCTAGTTTTAATTATTCCCATTTCTTAGTACAACATAATTAAATACAGAACTATGTTCAGATTCGGCGACATTTGAAAAATTGTTTAAAAAACAACTGTTTATGGAAGTCAGTATCCTATAACCAACGAATAAACCTATAAATAATTGAGTGGATTTCCGAAGCTCCAATAAAAAGACTGTCATTTATTCATCACGATATGTAAAATTGTATGTGTGTGTTTTTTAAAATAAAACAAACGTCGATAGAAGTGGACTAGTTATTTAAGGTTTTCCAACAAAATTTGTAGCCGTCAGTGTTTTCACAAAACGTTCATAATTGTAAAATATCTGGAATTATTTCTAGGAAAATATTTTTTGTGAAACTTCTGTCCCGGAAATATTGACATCTATCATACGTTAATATATGTATGTCCACAATTCGCATCAATTAAATAGTACTTATGTAGATAATGACCCAGAAGGTAGCGTCCTTAATGAACTTTTTAACTAAATCAATAATTTTAGTCCTCTGTTTTGAAGAGAAAAACTCATTCAAATGAAACTAATTTGTACGTGACATTCTTTCGATCTATAAACATAAACACTTCAAGCTAAGCTTGTTATTAGTGATAAGAGGATATTTTTCCCGTTAGTTTTCTGCTTTAAATATATTTTATATTGTCGGTACTTGGGAGTGTAAATTTTTGGTGCAGGGACTGCCAGGGTTTTTACTTTAAAGGGCCAGGGAAGTTCTGTCCCAATAACCGTCGAGCAATTTTTAAACTTATTTTTGTATTTTCAATGAATCAAATTATATCGATAGCTTGGTTCTATGTCATATATTTAATTTTCTATCCGTTACATCCTTCTTTAAATTTAAGACCAACAAACGAGTAAAAAGTGTCATAATTAAACTACTCGTAAAGAGCTCTTTGGGTTTTCGTCCATTTTAGCTAGTTTAACTAAATCACAGTTGATCGTCTATTGTTATACACTTATACATATCTATTTCTTTATCAATTTATATAATCTGCCTATGTTAATTCAGTAATAGATATGGAGTAAAGACTTCACATTTTGCATACCCAAAAAAGATATATTAATTTAAAGACGAAAATTTATATGTTTATCATATCTACAGGACTAACTTACCAGCTATGTACAAATAAATTTCCTTGAAAGAATGCATGGGATGGCACGCATGTAATCGATAAGCACCTTTAATAAATAATAGTGATACGAATCAACATGACCTACTGGCCTCCAATATCTTGAGGAATTATTGATTTTGGCCAACAAAATGTATAACGAAAAATTTAGTGCAAAGTGTTAATCATTATGAGAACTCTAGTAAGTAATTACTTTTCCGGCTAGAAACTGAAATAATAGTATATTATATACCAAGAGACTAAAGTGCAATAACCACTTGAGGGATTACATCACACTTTAGTCTTGTCGTATATATACTACTTTTTGCCCTCTCGGGACTATAGATACTAAATTTTAAATTGGAAGAAAATATTCTTACCTATTTGTGTCCTAAACTCACTGTAATTTTTTTTATTCAAAATATTTATTTTTCCCACTTATTTTGATTTAATATCGAAAAATCACCCTAATTTTCAATCAAAAATTCTCAGGTCAAAATGTTTGCTTTTTTAAAAAAGCGGTATGCTTTTTGTTCGTTGAAATCTCTACTTTCTGATGGTGTAAAAAAAGTATACATTACTATGGCAAATTTTCACAGAAAATCCAAGAAAACGAAAAAACTCGAATTCGAATTTTTTTTAATCATGTAAAATTTTGAGCTATTTTTCAAAATTTACACTTTAATTTATACATTTTAATAAAAAGCTCCAAATTTTACATAATAATTAAAAACCAAATTTTTGAGTTCGAGTTGTCTCCTTTTTTTGCATTTCCTGCGAAAATTTGCTATAGTAATGTATAATTTTTTTTACACCATCAGAAAGTAGAGATTTCAGCGAACAAAAAGCACACAGATTTTTTTTTTTAATTTTTAAATAGCAAATTTCGTGAAAACAAAAAATTTTTGTGGGAGATAAAAATAAAAAACCAAAAACTCGGTTATTTGCATTGTTCGCATAAATCTTGAGGTCATGTAAAGTAAGTTATAGATCTTTTTATTATCTACAACTTTGCCATTTAACGTTTTGCGATAAGACTTGTAGTTTTGCCGGAAATCGTAACAAACCATTTTCTACCCTTAAATGATCACCCTCTTCCCCTTCCCGACCTCAGATCGCCCGTAAATTATTTTCTTTATATTTTTGTTATATTTTCTTCCTTTTCCAATGGGTATCATCCTGTTCTAATTTTTTTTCACTTTTTACCATTTTCAAAGGATTCGGCACTGGCCTATTATTTGGAAACCTTGTTTTAAGTCTCGTCAGTCATCTTAAAATAGTTTTTATTCAAAAGTTCAAAAGTTTAGTTCAAAAGACGACGAGAAATATTTCACTTGATGAATACCTAATTTTGTTTCCTTGACGATTTACCACTTGTAAAATTTGAAAAAGTAAGTCTGCCGTTTCGATCTGTCATGCATAGATAGGTTATATTTGAATTTATTAACATTTACGCCCACATAACTTCAAAAACTATTACTGTAGATGTCAAAATATTGTTTTTATTATAAAGAATTACAATACATTTATCTGCGACCGTAAAAAGTACAATTGTTGTAAACAAAAAACTACGATGACATTAGAAGTGTCTTTGGAATGCATGACAACACCAGGTTTTTTCTCGTTGGCTACAATAATGCTTTGTTGAATTGTGCTGTTACCTGTTGCTGGAATTAGGTTCAGAAGTGCTAGAACAACTTAGTGAGTCCAAATTTTCTTTTTGAAAGTAGCCTTCGTCATCCTAGGACACTTCCAACCTCCACGGCGTTTTAAGGTTAATAAGTTTCCACCACCGTTGCCCAAATGGATGGCACATGACCTCCGGAAACAGCGTCCATTTCCATATCTGAAAGAAAAATCGTTTGTGGGTTCTGTTTTTAGGACGAAGGCCAGCGTATTTCTTGATGAAGTTAATCCATGTTCCCTCAGTTAACATGATTTCTCTCGGTAAATTATTTTGGGTGTTGGTAATGGATACCATAATTGACTCGTCGTTATATTTAATATCTTCTGTAGAGATGTTCGTGAGCTCCTCACGTCTGCAGGCTCCACTGTTACCAATTATCAAGATGACCTAAAATACCTGTATATATATAATATTGTATAAATGTATACTTAACACATAGTTTAGAATAAAAATAACAAATTTGTAAATTTACAATAAAATTAGTAGATACTTACTTTCATGGTCAGGTAAATTTTGTCGTCAGCGTCTGATAGAAATTTATTTATTTCATACGCTTCAAAAATTTTAGGCTTCTTTGGTCCATATCCCTCAGAACACCGTTTTAAAAACACTTATACATGATCTGAACTGGGAGTAGAGACAACGCAAGCTGGAAGATATATATATATATA